TCTTCTGATGTACCCTCATTAAGAATTTATTGGTTATAATAAAAGACAAGAGCCAGGCCTCACCATAAAAAAAAAAAAAAAAAAAAAAAAAAAGTTCTCCAATATTGCCACTAAAAAAGTATGGAACATGATCGCGTCAAAAAATCTTTAAGTTCGTTTAAGGATGGGTTAGAGTCTATATAAAGTTTACAATTTTTTAGTGTTTTGATAGTAAAATCGGTCAAAAAAATTTTTTTGTTAATGCACAAAAGGTGGTTTTCTATGCAGATTTTGAGTTATAAGCGATTTTTGACAAAACGAACATATGTTTTGAATTTTCCTGATCATGTTACGTTACACCTGATCTTGAAATCTGATTGGTTTGTGCCACAAAAAATCACGTGTACGTACTTTTTTGGTGGCGATACTGGGGTAGTTGTAAAAAAGTAACTACCCTTAGATCGCTTACCAACACGTGATTTTGGCGTGGCGCAAACCAATTATATTTCAAGATCAAGTGTAACGTAACACGATCAAACAAACGTTCGTTTTGTCAAAAATCGCTTATTTCTTGAAAAACTGCATATGAAACCACTTTTGTGATCTAATAAAAAGTTTTCCTTGAGTGATTTTACTCTAATATAAGCTCTAACCCTAACGCTAACATAAACGAACTTAAATTTTTTCGTTGTGGCACACATGATCACGTGCCGGTGAAATTTTGGTGGAAGATGTAAAAAGTGATTCTTTTTTTTTTTTTTGTGGTCTTAAAACAACGATTATGTTTACAGGTTGTTGTCCAGAACATTGCTTAAATAGAAAATAAAGCATCAAAAAGAATTATTTCATTCAAAAAGGAAAATCAAACTTTTAGAAAACTTTTAATGAAAGAACAATATAATTACTATAATCAACATCAACATGCAGACTTAACATGTTGAAAAATCTCTAACATTTGTCAATTCTTATCATTGGTATATATATATCGATGTTAAGTAGTTTCTCTGAATTTTTATATTCAACTATATATATATTGTGAAATTAGAATGAAATTGTGAAATTTGCCATAGGGAAATGTGGTGTGTGTAGAAAGGTCGCGTTGTAAAGACCTTTCAGAAGTATAAACTTAAATGTCCATTGTAAGTCAATAACTATGCCTTACGGACATAATGAGTGTTTGCTTTTACGTCAAAAAGTTATAACAGCCACTTTATTGGTATAGAACAACAGAAATGAAGATGATGATAATGCTTATTTATTGGAATGAATACCTTAATTGAATTACTATATAGTACACTATAATCTCTTAGATATTAATAAATCGTAATTTACGTGCCGGTTCTGACCGGTGGAGAAACCTTTAAAGCAATTCATGGTTTACATAACGTTATGCGAAGGAATTACTAAAGAGATATAAAAAGACTTACCAAGATTACACCATCACCGCGTACAAATAACATTTCTGATGTTCTTTTCACCGTCTAAAAGAGAATCAAAATAAATAAATAAATCCCAATAAGATTCGATTTACATTTCGCCTATTCACTTACACGAATCACTTCTTCGTAAGTTTCTTCATTGATTTCTACGACTGTAATAGTTTCTTCGACGTCCCCTAAAACCATATTCAAATGACCATCATATGCCTATCAAATTAATGAAATGTACCGCAAGATTATCATAATTTAAATAAAAGGTTCGTTATCATTGCCGCCTAATGGAATTTGCTCATTTACAAAGAAACGGAAAAGTATTACATGAAGTTTGCCACGTAATTCTCGATCCCCGCGTAATTTCACATATATTCGTTCATCAAGTGATAAACGGACCAAATCCAATGGCTCTTCAACTGCGTTTGGTTCAACGGGCGCGTTATGAGTTTCTTCGGTCATTTAATAAATTATGATAATTTTCGAAAGCTATTTACAAACAGTACGGGATCGTCTAAGGATCATGTGAAACTAGTGGGTGATTGGCCAAAATAGAAAGGCGGTTATTGGCCAGAAAAAGATCATCCGAATTTATGTACACTTTCCAATTCTCTCTAAATGCACGGTATAGTCCAGTCTCGGCTTATATATATTTTGCTCTCTATAAATGAACACCCTCTCTAAGTGCACGCTTTTTAGTTTTTTTCCTATAGTCCCGAAGGGATGCACTTAGAAAGGTCTGATTGCAGTGTTGGCCGATGACCTTAAATGACCTATATAACCTTTATATGACCTGTTATAGGTCATTTGGTCATAACGAAGATTGATATGACTTTATTAACTTTTAATATAGTAAAATTCTTGGTAAAAAAATTTTTATGACCAAAAAGTCATATGATTATATGACCAAGATCATATCGAAAAAATGTTATGACCTATGTTATCGGCTGATTGATTGTATTGTGAATGATGTTAAGAAATATCCTATTTAGTCAAACATTTAGACAATTTTGTGTCGAAATATATTTCGACATGATGTCAAAATGTCAAAATCCTAAATGTTTAAATATTTAAATTAATATTACTATATATAACTAAATATTTAAATAAGTCAACATAATTTTTTATAACTCTTTCTGATGTTACTTTGTACCAATTTTTTTTTTGATAGCAAGTTGAAGACTCAAAGCCAAAAAATCTAAACTACTTGCAGTTTTTGCTTACAAATTATTGTCAATCAAGTTTTTAAATATAATATATTGAGATATGGATATTTGAATAGTTTGTATAGAGATCAAACCTTGTTTTGGTTTTTTTGAAGTAGATTTCTTTTTGCATTTAATATCTAAACTGAATGAGTTTTTTGGAATAGCAAGTATATAAAAAATACAAGTAGAAAAAATAGAACAAGACAGTTATTGTAAAAAATATTTGATATCTTGTAAAATTTAATATTTTTTCTTGCTGTTATTATTTTTTTTTTTAACAGACAGATATAAGAATTTGAAATACTTTTATTAAAAGATTAGTATTGTTTACAACTCTTAGTTAAGGACATAACAAAAATCAGGTGATTTTTTAAAGAGGAAAGAGTAAAATTTTTAAAATCTATATTATAAAAATTTAGATGTTCGATCTGTTTAGCATCACATGATTTTGTATAACACTACCCATTGTTTAACAATGGGTCGAAATATCTAGTTATATATAAAAATCTAATCAAGATATATATTAAGAAAGAGGAAGAGAAGTAAGCTTTTAATAAAAAAAATCAGGTCATAAATGGTATTGTTCTTATAATACTGTATATATATTAATTTTATAAGTCTTCAGAATTAAAATAAAAAAATTTTTATTGAATTTGGGATAGTGGTTGTTAAGAAATCTTTGTTTAAAGTTCAGAAAAAAATTTTATCTGATTTTTAGTTTTTTTCTAAAATTTTCCAATTTTTTTTAATTTCTAGCTAGGATTTCTTAATAACTACTAAACCAAATTTAATAAATTTTTTGTATTTTGATTCTACAGAAGTATGGGATTGAAATAAAAAAAATTTACCAAATTTGATCAAGTAGTTATTAAGAAGCCTTTAAAAATTTTGAATGATTACTAAAATTTGATTGATTATGTATAATTTTTAAGTTAGTAATACTAGAACAGTTTTTGCTCTCAGGCATTGACACAAAATTTGATTGTTCTGAATCAGCCTGATATGAATTCTGAATATATGTAAAAGAAAAAAAAAGCAAAAATATTTAAAAACTAGTGTTTAAATCACCTTGGTTCACTAATTAAAAATTTTGAAAATAAAATTTTATAACAATCTATTGTTATAACCTCTAATATTAATATTTTATACACTTCGCATATAGGTGGATTTGATATATATGATAATTATTTAAAACGTAACAAAATCAAAAAACAATAATTTTAACCAGTAGCCAGCATTATTTGGCTTGGTTTATAGTTATTTCCTTTTTAAATCACCTTGTAAAATTTAAAAAAAAAATTAAAATAAAAACTTGATTAGTTTAAATTCAGGACAATCACAAAATTGATGTATAATTTGAAAATATTACTTTAATAAAAATGCATTCAATCCACCTATATAAGTAATTTACAAAATTCAATTTCTTTTTTTGGTTTGTGTTTTTTGTACAAATAAGTAAAATCCAAAGATATTCTATAGAATAGATAGGCAATATAAGAAATAAGCTTTGCTAATATTTAGTAATCATTAATTTTTTAATAGCAAAGTTGCAGAGTTTGCCTACTTATTAGAGTTCTGCATGTATATATACCAGGCACATTAGCCACCATACTAAGCACTAATGCCTATAGTATACCTATGCTATAGACACAAAAGTATCAATCTAAAAAAGTGCCAAAGGCATTTTAATACCATGTCTAAGAAAGTGCCTAGCATTTGTATAATGTGCTTGGCATTTTAGACCTAGCTACATTCTAGTCAAAAAAATGAAATCAGGTACAAAAGTGCTAGGCACAAAGTTTCTATAGGTAGAAATAGGAATCAGCTATATGATTTAGTCGACTAAATCAACTAAATATAGTAATTTATATATAAATTTTTTAGTCGACTAAATCAATTCCTATTCCTATCTATAGATACAAAAATGCTAGGCATTTTTATGCCAAACAAAAAAGTGCCTGTGCCTATGCCTGTATTAGTACCTTAAAATTTTTTGTTAGATACAGGCACATGCTAGATTACAGATCTCTACTATCTATTCTATAGAACATCCAAATTCAGATGGATGCTTAAAAATCTTTAGAATCTTCTTTTTAACTATTACTATTTATACTTAATAACAGGAGAATATTCGATTCTGATGATTTCTGAGATCGACATTATACAAATATTTATATAGGATAGTAATATAAAACCAGAATTTTCAGGTATTAGTAAACTTAAAAAAAAATAAACCATATAATTCTTTACTAATTAAATAGCTTCCTAGCAAATGTCTTGTTAAGAAACTCAATTTGAATTACATTGAATTACACAATAAAAGGTAGATTTATTAAGAGTTGAAGTACTGTCTACCATATAGTAGAAGGTAATAAAAATATGTTGTACTTCTAGCATAGCAGAAGTTCGTTTTGATTGGCTAAAATTTGAATAAATATGATTGGCAATGATCTTTTATTTATATAGTCAATTATAATTTTTAAAATACTTTTATTAGTAAAAATCATCACGCTATATAAAAATTTTTTTTGTAATATGTAATGAAACAACAAACTTAAACAACTTATTTTTTATCTTTAAACCTACTGTTTTTTAATAAAAGATACAGTAAAATACAGAAGTTCAAGAAACTAGATAAGAAATAAATATTTTGAAAGGTCAGAAAGGTGGTTCGGCGAACTAAGCAAATAGTAAATGAAATTGTAAGACTTTGTCTTAACTAGACTTGTTAACCTTACAAATAAAAAACAAGCTATTTTAAATTATTATTCTAAAACTTTTTATTATATTTATTTAGGTTACGAATATACTTTATAAATATAATATTTATAGACATAGAAAGTTGTAATAGTAATAGTATTTAGGTTCGTTTGGGTATGTATAATAATATTTTGCAAAATTAAATTAGAGTATT